AAGGCATTTGATATGCTTGCCTTCATTGGTCAGTGCATTGAGTAAAGGAGTTGGGAGGTCATGTTGCGGCTGTACAGGGCATTGGTTAGGCCACTTTTGGAATACTGCGTGCAGTTCCAGTCTCCCTGCTATCGGAAGGATGTTTTGAAACTTGAAAGGGTTCAAAAAATTTTACAAGAATGTTGGAGGGTTTTAGCTATAGGGAGAGGTTGAATAGACTGGGGCTATATTCTCTGGTGCGTCGGTGGCTGAGGGGTGACGTTATAGAGGTTTACAAAATCATGAGGGGCATGGATAGGGTGAATAGCCAAGGCCTTTTTCCCACTGTATGAGAGTCCAAAACTAGAGGGTATAGGTTTAAGGGGAAAGATTTAAAAGGGACTCAAGGGGCAACTTTTTCGCACAGAGTGTTGCGTCTATGGAATGAGCTGCCAGAAGAAGTGGTGAAGGTGGGTACAATTACATTTAAAAAGCATTGAATCCCTACAACGTGGAAACAGGCAATTTGGTCCATCAAGTCCACACTGACCCTCCGAAGTGCATCCCACCCAGACCCATCCCCCTATCCCTGCATTTCCTATGAATGATCCACCTAACCTGATCAATACAGGGCAACTTAGCATGGCAAATCCACCTGCCCCTCTTTGGACTGTGGGAGGAAACCCATGCAGACAGGGGGAGAATGTGCACACCCACATAGATGGTCACCCAAAGCTGGAATCAAACCTGGGTCTCTGGCACTGAGCCATCATGCTAGATGGGTATGTGAATAGGAAGAGTTCAGAGGGATGTAGGCCAAATGCTGGCAAATGGGACTAGATTAATTTGATACCTGGTTGATATTGACGAGTTGGACCGAAAGGTCTGTTTCTGTGCTGTACAACTCTATGACTCTATCTTACTCATACCCAACAGGCCCCCTACTACCTCTCCCATCTACTATTCTTCAATCTTGGTGGTGCCCTCTGCCATATCCTTTCAGCAGCAGCTGAGAATGAAGCATGTAGAGAACTCAGAGCCGAGCCTGTGCCGTTCACACATTGCTCATTGCCAGCTATCCATGGGTGTGGACTGTACCTGGTGAATCGCTCTTTCACCTTCAGGAGTTCACAGCAGTTCAGCTTAGACAGTGTCGCCCTGATGCCAGGAAGTTCGATGGTTGCGAATATGAAAAGAGTGCAAGGCAGAGCGCAGCGTTGTTTGTGAATTGTTGTCAGTGAGTTGAGATGAAGTTTAGGTGATATCTTGCTTCACCTGTCACTGTTTCACAATAGCAGTGACGCATGCTGTCTCAGAGACAGATATGTATGATATATACAGGATATCCCAGTCCCAGGTTGAAGCCGTTTGTACACAGTTCACTAATAATCCGGGACAGGTACAGTAGTGAAGGTAAGGAACTTTGTTTAATCTGCAAACAATCAATAGCAGATGAACTATAGCCTGCTGGCAAACCTTATCCTGGTGCATTGCACACCCAGGTGTGACTCAGCCCTGGCGAAGTGAAGCACACCCTCAGCATGTTCAACAAGTGCTGCCTTCCCAGGCAGGCAGGCTGGTAGTCCAGGGGAAATATTGTCAAGCCGGATCCAGCAATTTGGAGACATCCTGCTCACTCCCTCTGGCCTCCAAAGGGCGGGCCTGAGAAAGTTTTAACTGTTTTCTTTCTGAGGCCAACGCAGCTGGTGGACTGGGTGCTAGGAAGGACTGCAGTACAACATGGTTTTAGAAGCTGGAGGATTTCCTGATTCCACATCCGAGCAGGAGGGCGGTCACCCATGGCACAGTGACTCGGAAACTGGTCGGGCTAAACTTCCCCGTCTGTGCCAAGCCTGACCGTGCGGTGTCACAGCAGCTGTTTCAAATGAAGGTGCACATATCCTACACACCCCACATCCTCACCCTCTGTTGGCTAAATAACAATGGCTTAAATTCAACTTTTTCAAAACACAGCCAGATTAGAAAATATAACCAAAGAGCACCCCACGCTCATTCATGGCCAGTGAAGTTTTTTTTCAAATGTAGTCACTGTAAGGTAAGGGACACAATACAAAACCCCAACGACCTGTTTTTACTGACTTTGGTTTGGGATGGGGTGTTCAGGAAACAGACAGAGCATCCCTGCTTTAATGTGAATGGTGCCACGGCACCTTTTGCATTGAACTCAGAGGGCAGTTGGGTTTAATGGTTTACTGCCTCATCTGGAGGGGATCCTGAAGATTTGACCTTTTCTTTTTGTGAAGGTCTGAGCTGAGGAGATGTAAGTTCCACTGAGTGGCCATTGTCTAACTGTGTGTGTGTGTGTACACATGTGTGTACATGTGAGCATATGTGTCTCTGTGTGCGTGTTTATGTCTGTGTGCGTATATGCTCACATGCGTATGTGTTTGTTTGTGTGTATGTGTTTGTGTATCTGTTTGAGAGTGTTTGTCCGTGTGTGTGTCTGTGTGTGTGTGTGTGTGTGTGTCTGTGTCTGTGTCTGTATCTGTGTGTCTGTGTGCATGACTGTAAGCTCATGTGTGTATGTGTATGTGTGTGTTTGTCTGTGTGTATGTGTTTGTGTGTCTTTTTGAGAGTGTTTGTCTATGTGTGTGTCTGTGTGCGTGCGACCGCATGTGTGTGTAGGTCTGTGTGTGTGTGTGTGTGTGTGTGTGTGTGTGTGTGTGTTTGTGTGTCTGTTAAATGATGGCGAATCTGCAAGGAACACTTCATAGGACAGACGGGCAGGAAACTCGCCACCAGGATACACGAACACCAACTCACAGCAAAACGGCACAACCAACTCTCCCTCATTTCAATACACTCCGATATAGAAGGACATCAGTTTAACTGGGACAAAGTTACAGTACTAGGACAAGCAAGACAAAGACAAACACGAGAATCCCTGGAGGCCTGGGTTTTCAACCACTGATGTAATTAACAAACATATTGAAATAAACTCCATCTACATATCGCTACGGTCCAAAACTGGAAACCAGACCGGACCATATAAATTCAGAGCAGGACAGAGCAACAGTGCTTCAACGGAGGCTACACAGCACTGATGATGTCACTTAGAAGGGAGATGAAACATTTGTATGAAAACCAGTCAGCTCGGCGAAACAACCATCAGTTCCACCCACAACCTGAGCTACACAGGGGTCACTGTTGGAGTGAGGGGTCACTGTCGGAGTGAGGGGTCACTGTGAGAGTGAGTGAGGGGTCACTGTCGGAGTGAGTGAGGGGTCACTGTCGGAGTGAGGGGT